CCCACACCGCCCGTGCGCACGCCGCACCCGCCGCATCTACCGCCGCTAGACCCACTCAATTGCCATCCCTTACATGCACGGTAATTATAGTTTCACAAGAGTACAATGTAGTCAAGGCGCTCTGCTTCTTTACTGTTACACTTAAAATTGTGTTCTACTCGTCGACTCGCACGGTTTGTCTTTAGTGAAAACCTCTAAAATATACTAAAAACTAATATACTAAAACTAAATATTTACTTCCCGAATATGTTAAAATCAAAGTGTAGAAATAAAATAAAATAAAAAAAATGAACACACACAATTACCTTTGTTTATTTATAATGACCAAGCAAATATTTCTTTACCTAAAAATTGTTGAAAAAGTTAATAATTCTAGCCAATAGATAATTTTGAAAAAACAATATGACCTAAAGTACTAAATTAAGACATCCAATTGGCAATTAATAATTCTGTAGATGTCGACCGTGGTAATCTAAACGAGCCTGGCCGTGTACTTTGAAATTAAAGGCGAGCGCAACCGCGGCCCCATTCCTTACATAGTATGACAAGATAATCAGAGAAACAAGCCCACATAAAGTTGTTACTACGCATACAAAGACGCACAGGAAACTCAATGTTAATTATGTCGTTCTAGTCCTTATTACGTAGTCATCTACTATAGATTCTATAAATACCTGAAATAGTACCAGAATACCTGACCCTTTTAAACATTGATATTAAGACCATTTTTATTAGTTGTAAAAAATCGATATCACACTGTCTTGACTATGTAAATCTTTCTTAGCCTGTATTTTATGCATACTTTCGGTACCTTCGCTTTTCATTTGCTCGGATTCATTACGATGGAACAGCCTATCTATTTCTCTAGCAAATGTATGAAAACATTTGTAATGTCCTATTACCTTTATTCTCATTTATACTATAGGATGTTTTAATTAAGACTTTATTGCAGGCTATCTCAGACAACTAGCAGTGCGACCACATCGTCGTCAGAAGGCAGGGGTCGACGTGAAGCGAGCCCTGAACCAGACAGACGGGATCTACACCTTCCAGACCTGGACAAACCGCTACCTGTCTACGATATACAGTATGGAGTGAGTACAACGATTTAAAACATTAACAACTTTATCAATGTAAACGAAAACGCTAGATACAATGTAAATAATTCGTTAGTCAGCTTTGATATATTGTTTTATTAGAAACTAACTGTTCCCGTGCGGCTTCATCCGCATGAATTTTGAAAATGTAAACAATGAAATAAAATTAATAGTAAATGTCAAAATGACAAGACATGACAATTCTTAGCAATCTTGCTTCCTTGATGTTGGCTGCAATTTATGGTCTCTTTCCCAGATTAGGGTATTTATCCAAAATATTTAGCTCCTGAGTTTAATGGCGTGAAAAAATATAGCCTAAAGCGTGACGTAGGTGTAGGGTTTTATATTAAAGAAAGAAATGTGTAAAAATATGCTAAATATACTGTAAAATCGCTGACATCTTAGGCAACACAGAAGTGTGTGTTTACGCTTTATTATAATAGTATAGATTCTTCTAGATAAATAATGAATGAATTTTTCATTTAATTACATGTAATATTGTCAAATACAGTCTACTACTAGTTTCCGTAGTTACTGATAATTTATTGAATAGACAATGACTATCAATGTAGGCAGTTTACATAATGTTACCATTATCGCTTTCATACGACCCTAAAGCTGTAGAATATCACGACTATGTTCCTAACAACGGCCTGTACATTGCTCTACAATACAAGTTATTGTACTGCGAATTGTACTGGTGATTAACACGTCTTTTTATGTGTGATATAGTATGAACAATGTAGTTTTAAATGCATATAAATACATTTAATACTTCCGTTTTTCGACAAGATTATACCAGAAATGTGCTAGAAGAAATAAAAAAAACTGACATGTAAACCTCTTTTTCCTACAATTTTTCTGTTATTCATTTTTTCTTTTTGATTCCTCTGAACGAAAATATTGCCAGGATTAAATCTGAAATAAATTAAAAATTTGAAAAAGAATGAAACTTCTTAGTACGCTTCTTCGTTTACATTTCACGTAGCCTTTAACAATTACAATAATAATTTTCATCCCAAAAATTCTTTGGGTAATTAAATATAAAGACCTATAAATTTAAACGGCTGCCGATTCAGAAGTAGCGGAGCAGTCATTGTGAAAAGTAAACGGTCGGGCAATTTCTTTTATTGATAGTCGCCATTAACGCTGCGAGTTTAGATATTCAACCCTTGAGAGAAAAAGCGGCCGGAATCGAAAACAAATCTGGCGTATTCGAATTAGATTTGTACAAAAAAATATTTTAGTATTCCAACGAATGCTATCAGTCGGGTTTTGCATAAAAAGTATTTTTTATGGAATTAATATAATCTAAAATTCTTTTGTAATTTCGACAAAAATTTGAGCAATATTTAAGTAAGTAACTAAACCTTATTGAAATTGGAAAATCATTTAAAAGGGCTAATATACAAAGAATTAATAGTAAAAAGGAAATTTATATGACTTGATTTATAATGTTATTTTTTATACAATAATGTGACAAACGAGCGAGATGCCGCCTAAATCCGCCAAAATGGTGAAGCGACCGCTGCCCATAGACATCCGCAATTGCAGATGCGTTGCCTACCCTAAATCGACGGAGGAGGAGACGCACCTAAAGAGGATATTTCCCCTTCCTATGCGTCTCCACTATCACATCCATTCCATTTCTTATAAGAAAAGGGTGGCACAGGAAAGGGACTAAAGTTGGGCCTCCGCCACCACACTCAGTAGACGAAACGCGGAATTGCTTCCACTTCACGCCTGTCTTTTGTGTTTCCTTAGACTTCTTTTATTTTCCCTTTAATATTAGTATTTTGTATCAAATCGATTCACACCAATTTAATGTCTTAAGAGAGTAACATTAAACTATTTTAAACTAAGAATAAAATATTAGAAACGATTAAGATAAATGTATTTCTCTTACATTAAGACGCGGGCTTGGTACTCTGTAATCCTCAGATATATCTTAGTTCAGTGAGTGGATCATCAATTAAAACAACTGTCGATCGCCTTGTTTTATCTCGATGCAATTAATCCTGAGTTTTCTTACACTTAACTAACTAATGCGTTTTTATTACACTCAAACTTTTATATTCCATTCATTATTGATATCCGCTATACAAACGAAGATCATAATATTGGCAATCTATACTATTGTAATAAAGCGTAAACACACACTTTTTTGTTACTTAAAATGTCAGCAATTATAGCATATTTTTTAATAATGCTTTTTGGAATAAAAAGCCCTGCACTTACGTCATGCTTTAGGCTATATATTTTCACGCCATTAAACATAGGGCATTAATATTTTGGATAAAAACCCTAATGTGGGAAAGAGACCATAAGTTGCTGCCAACATCAAGAAAGCCAAATTGCTATAGTCAGGTAATTGGTATTTTGACATTTGCAATTGATTATTTGACACATGTAAACAATAAAATAAAATGTTCATAGTTTTATGCGGATGAATTCGCAGGGGAACAGCTAGTTAATTGTAAAATGCGTACTTAATTGATTGAATATCCTATAGTCGGCTAGATAACCCTTTCCCATTTAATAAAACTATTTGTTCACGGCTGCAGGATGATGGATCGGTGGTGAGTAAATTATTCAATAGCTTTAGAGTATCAGCCGTTAAAAGTTGAATAATCCGTTTTAATTAAAACCTTCTGATGAAACACCGCTCCGTTGCCCGTACAAATTTTGCAAATGTATTTTCGAGTAATTACCCGTTCCTTGGAAGCGTCGTAATGAATGGATGGCTTTTGTTTTTATTACACTTATATTTGCTTCCACTGATTGTGTAACAATAATGCGAGCTGTTTTCCGTTGATAATATTGTTATTTGAAAGCTTAAAGTGCGAACTTTTTAATTACCTTTTTAAAACTGTAATCGCAGTCTAATTGACTGTCGTTATTCGACATTAAATTATTTAATAATATGTTCTTAATAATGGCAGGAATTCGACATAGTGATGACGAAGGTAAACGGTTCTCTGGGCTTTACTCTGCGGAAGGAGGATCACAGTGCATTAGGGCACTACGTACGCGCGCTCGTGCGGGAACCAGCGCTTAGCGATGGCAGAATACAACCAGGGGACAGGATCGTCGCGGTAAGGAAAACTATTCATAATTCTTTCTACTCCTTAGACCTTTGAGTAGTAATTCATCATCACCAGTTCACTGCGTTGCCACTGAGCGACTCGGAGTCTACCCTGAGTTAGAGTCAGGCTAACCACGCTGGCTCACTGATGGTTGGTTGACTTCACACATAAGTTTCAATTTCTTCGCCTATATGTGCAGGTTTCAACACGATGTTGCCTTCACCGTAAAAACTTCTATTAAATCACATTGGTACATGATGAGATTTGAATCCAAGACAAGTAGTAATTGCTGCAATATTCGCTAAAATTTATCCAACAGTAATGTTACATATGTTATATTTCAGGTGAACGATACGCCAATGTCCAACATGTCGCACACGGACGCGGTGTCGTTCTTGCGCGCGTGCGGCGCCGACGTACGACTGCGGCTGTACCGCGACCACGCCGCCACGCCGCTCTCACCTGTCTCACCTAAAGACGATGGACCTACTGACTCAGATCCACCACTCAATCGGCCTAAGCCACCTTTAAGGTACGTGACGTCATTGCCACTCGACCTACATATTATATATCATGTATACCTTAAGAATTGCAACTGAGTTTCGTTTCTACTCTAATCCAGATAAGTATTAAATTAAACACCGTCTGATCGGGTTCCCTTGATGTGGTACTAAATCTTATGCAAGATTCATAGCATTGAGTAAATTGTCGACATTGGTTTATGATAAAACGTAAGGTTTCCCTAGACATTGAACGGTTTCATTGAACTAATAATAATTGATTATGTCTCAATAGGCTAGGTTGTCGCTAATGCAAATTTAATCTACAAAAAAATCTTTTAACACATAAGTGTGAAGTTGAGACACGGTGATAAAGTCTTTTATAAGCCTGCAAGCTTAGATAGTAAACTTGTTGAATTTATTGCTTTACTCAATACTTGGATGGATGTTTGTGAGAGT